GTTGCTCGGGGCGGGTTCGCCGGGGGGGGCGGCGCGGGGCGGCGGCCCGGCGCCCCCCCGCCGTGTTTATTTCACGATGTCGGACGGACACCGGGAATAAGAACGCGGCATTTCAGGGGCGCGGGTGTGGGAAAGCCCCCTGCGAGCGAGGGGAGCAGAGCAAAGTCCCAGTTATACGCAGCATCAGAGATTTCCTTACATAGTGTCATGTACAAAATAATAGAAATCAAGTATCGCTGATGACGTAACTGATCTGGTCATGAAGTCTTCGTGTCCGAGATGTCGGCAGTCGACCGTCACATCGCCGAGACCCCGAGACGGAAGGGCAGGGCCATCTTAACTTCATGCCCGCGAGGCGCTTTGGTACAGAGGACCATCTTTGCGATTTGAAGGGAGAGAATGGCCGGTATCCCATCTGCTCACACGGGAATATTGCCTGTGCTAAGAGTCAATTGAATAACACTCACATTCAGTTCTGGAGCAGTGAATTGTGATAGCTAAGTCGCATAAGCCAAGGCGACGACGTCGACATCAATAGTCGCGCACGCTTTATGTCACTCACCATACTCATATAGCTGACCGGAATCATACGTTTTCTTAGAAAATGAGAACACACATAAATATAGAGTCAAAAAGACAAAAGCGAACGTCATGAAGGACGCGACGATTGATTCCTCGTGGCGAGAAAATAAAAGAAGAAGTTATGTGAAGTTGTAATTATCAATGATGATTTGCCAGTCGGACTTTTGTGCACATTGAATGTTTTAACTTATCTCGAACAAGCAAACCGTGCCGTGCTTCTTACTAGATAGCGAAGCGTGACGAGTGCGCGGCGTAGTCCGTATAACGGCGTCTGAATGTTCGAGCTTATACAATAACAAGCCGGCCTCTATGGCACAGGGGTAATGCGTGTCACTCGTATAGCGATTAAGCTTGCGGTGTTAATGACAAGATCCGCGGTTCGATTCCGCGTGGAGGCAGCCGTTTCTTTTTTTTTCTTTTGTCATCTCGGGTTTATCCCCGGGTGAAATGAATTCTTTTTTTTTTTTTACCCGGATACATACATAACTGGCATCTCGTGAAATGAGAGAGTCAATCAAATCTTGACGCAACCTGAACGAGACATCCCCTTTTTCATAGTCGCATCCTTCATATACCGGTATCTAATATCTCAATCTCAAAAAATATTCCGAGTTCCTCGAACCTAGATAGTTACTTTTTATCTATAGTGGGTGGGCCATTGCCGAAAAGCGTGCCAAATGGACTTTCGAACTCTTTTCCGGTCCTTGCTTGGCCTTACTTAACAGCGCCGGTTACGTCGTGCCGGGTGGCCTGGCTAAAGAGCATAGTCGGTCGAGAACGTAATCCGAATGATCCGAGTGAGTTGACACGTACGACCATACCTACTGGAATACTCGGGATCCCGTCCGCTCTCCCATAGATAAGCCGGTGAGGGCCGGATCAGTAGTTGGGTCGGTGACGACCAGCGAATCCCTGGTGTTGTACGTTTTGCCACTTTTTTCTTTTCATTTTTTTCATTTTTTCATCTTGTTTTTTTTGTTTCTCTCATATCTAGGTATTCTGTTGCGCGCGACGATTTCACAGAAAAGTCCTCTCCTGCTTTTGAGCTTCGAAAATCAAGTCATAGGCTTTTGCTTGCCTAGATATGTAATTATACGTATAGGTAGTGCTCGGAGGATGAACGATAAGAGAAATCTCACTTCTACCTTACATCCTAGTATGGCACCAAAGAGGTCATGTTGTGTGCAAGACTATCACCAGGGGTAGGCCAGCTGCCGTTTTGAAAGAATCTCCTCAGCTTGTCATCCAACCACATCAAATCCTCCTTACTGGTGCCCGGTCCGCCCGCCCTACGAATTTTCAGTTGGCGAACTTCAAATTAAGCAAAATGGGAGAGAAAGAAAGAAAAAAAAGAAAAAAGAAAAAGAAAAAGGAATCTTACCAGTGCCCCCACATCGAAGGGAACGCGATGCATTTCCCAATTCCCGGCGTCATGCAGGCAACTTCATACTGTGAATCTTCAGGAGGGAAATACAGGTCGGTTTTTCCTGGGAGAACCAGAGTTCGGGCTTTGATGCTCTTCATGGCGAGCTCGAAGTCTATTTCATCGCGCGCGCGTGTTAAAAAAATAGTAAGCAAAACAAACAAACGGCGGCGCCGGTCTGAAAGAACTCAAATTGATGGGAAAAGCATCCGCTGGCTCACCTCCTTTATAACGGTCTTGATTGGAGCAGTCGGCTGATTGCCATGTGTCCAGCATCGTCAACATATTGTCGGGATCTTCAACCATGTCAGCTATGCATACACCAGGTGTCGCCCTACGACTGAAAGAGAGCGGTCAACTTACCCTTGGACAGTGCCCAGGCCTCCCAGAATCCAACCATGAAGTGCTCGAGGTCCTTGAAGCCGAGATAGCTCTCGTACAGCTTTTCGCGGTAGAATGTCTGGCTGAGGCCCCAGCCGGCATACACCCGTCCAAGCGCCTTCAGTCCAGTCTCGCGCTCCTCGGCCGTCCACGGGCGGTACGACGACGCTGACTCCACGGTACAGATGCCGGCCGAGACGGCGCCCTTGGCAGCAAGCAGGCCACTCTTGACGCCCTCGAGGAAAACCTGGTTGTGCAAGCTGCATCGCGCGGCGCCGCAAAACGGGATGGCGAGGTCCATGAAGTCTGGGTACTGCGTGGCCCATTGGAAGGTCTGTGCTGCGCCCATGCTCCAGCCAAGCACGGCCTTCAATCGCTTCACGCCTAATGCCTCGGTCACGAGGCGATATTGCGCCGTGACGTTGTCAAGCATCGTGATGCGCGGGAAGGGACGGAGCCCCGGGGTATTGGACGGGCTCATGGACTGGCCGTTGCCGAAGATGGCGGGAATGATGATGAAGTACTTGTCTGGGCTCAAAGACTTGTCCCTGCCCACCAGCCATACATTGTCGGATATCAGGCCACTGTACCATGTTGGGTACACGATGGCCGGGTTTTCTGGCTGGCCGAGGGTCTTGTAGGCGATATATGCGTCGGGGAGTGTAGCGCCGGATTGCAGGACGAAGTCGCCCAGCTTGAAAATGTTGAATTCTGCCATCTTTGTTGCTGTATGCGATGCGATGGGTTTATGGTTGATGACTTGGTGGGATGTTGAAGAATGGAGTTTTGGGGCGGAGAAAGAAAGAGAGAGAGAGAGGGGGG